TTACATATCTTCTCAAGATATTCCTTTTTGGCCCTGTCCGTGGCTCTTTTCAATTCATTCCTCAGTCTCCTGTATTTCCTCCTGCCTTCTTCATTGTTGACATTCTTCCATTTCCTTCGCTCCTCCATGTTACTCATCATCTCCTGTGTAACCCATGGTTTTCTTTGCTATCTACTCTACTTTACCAACCAAATCACTGATAGTATTTAACATGCATTCTTTTATATTGTTCCACTGCACTTCAGCATTTCCGCTTTCACAAATAATATATATTATCATTTTAAATGGGCAGTAAAAACGAATATTCAGGAATTAAGAATTAATATTCATGGATTTAAAATCCATATTCTATAGGAAATAAAAGCATGGATCCGGTAAAACTTTACTGCATTGTGTGTGTGTGTGTGTGTGTATATATATATATATATATATATATATATTCCTAACTTCTGTTATATTATTTCAATTACTGTACTTTCAGATCATATCTATAAAGAATGTTGTGTAACACGTCTGTTATTCTAAGATTTCGAAGTTTCTGGGTTTGAAATTTTGCAATCACAGAACTGCCACAATAATTTGCTTTGTTTTATTCATTAATAGGGACAGTTTTAACCATTTATTTCAAGTCGATATCTTCAAAATCATAAATAATAATGCAGTAAGCTCCTCTATAAATCAGACACCATTGTTTTGTCAAGACATCAAAGAGTTTTCAGAGAGGAGAGGAGAATACATTTAAAACAAAAGGAAAATAAGACAGACGAATAATATAGACAGTATAAAATAGCAAAGAAATAAGTTCACTTTATCGTACGAAAAATTAAAGAGTAATATTGGAAATTATGTACCAATAATCTCCAAAGAGACTCTGTGGTACACACAAAGAGGTATGAATTAAGTATGGCGAATGATACCCAATCGAAGAAAAGAATTTAAGGTGCTCATTAGTACAAAAAAATTGATGAGCAGATATAGATGATAATTTTTTTTCCTTTTCACTACAGCCCCAGTGGGCCTAGGCCTGCCTCCATGAACTTCTCCGTTCACTTCGGTTTTTCTAGATCTCACACATTCGGTAGGACTCCTTGGATAGGTGATCAGCTCGTCGCAAGGCTTCTACCTGTACACAAACCCAGAAAACCGCACACACACAAACTAAACATCCATGCCCTGAATGGGATTCGAACCCACGATCCTGGCTTCCAAGCGAGCGATGACAGTACATGCCTTAGACCGCTCGGCTACCGCGACCGGCGATGATACATATTACCAAACTGAATTCAATGGACACAGAAAGAAAGCTATTAAATCGACGAAATGGTGGAATAAGAGTTGAAGTTAATGGTAAAGAGGTCGTTGAAACGGTTATGAAGTTAAGAAATGGGAAATCTCCTCCAGAAAATTCCATTACCAATAAAATGTTGAAGTAGGGGGGAAATGCGTTGATTGCATAGATTAAAAATTCGTGAAAGCAGATACAAGTACTGGAAGAATAGAAAATAACTATTTTACCACCTATCTGAAAAAAAGATGCGTAATTGCCCTGCGGCAGGTTTTATCTAAGTACTTCAGTTTCCCTTGCCGCTTCTCATGCCGCCACCTGTTCCACATAAATTAATCAACCTCTCAGCCGACTCTACACATCCTCGATACTCACAGCGTCGTTACGTAACTCAATATAAAAATATGTTCTAATAGTAGTGTTAAAATATGTAAAAATTTACATAGCTGGTAAAAATATGTATGCAGTGGAACCTCGCTTAACGAGCACCTCTCATAACGAGTAATTCGCATAACGAGCAAAACAATTTAAGGGGGGGGGGACTCGCTTAACGAGCGACGTTTCGCATAACGAGTGACGAGAAGGGAAGTCCCGGATTGTGCGCTTGCTACATCAGTCTGAGTTTAGCACTCGTTCCGCTAGAGTCTTAGTGTCGCTTGTGATCACACATTTTTCCAAACTTGTGTTCAGACATATTATTTGTGATTTTTTTTGTGCAAAGTTTAATAACCATTGCAAAAATGTCCCCGAAGGAAAAGCCGCAAAAAGAAGGCCCTAAGAGAATAAAAATAACCGTAGAAATGAAACGTAAAATCATTGAAAAGCGAGAACGAGGTGTGAGCATGGCTGATCTAGCACGCACATACAATCGGTCTACATCAACGATTTGCACGATTTGTAGTTGCACTGTGTTTCACAGCAAGAAGTTGTGGAGGAGAGTTTGTCAGAGGAGGAGGAGGAGGAGGTAACAGCAAAGCAACAATCTTCTGGCGCAATAAGAGAAATGCTGAAAGCATGGGAAACGGTTGCATTGTACACTGAGAAGCATCACCCTAATAAGGCAGTGGCTATGCATGCTACAAATTTATTTAATGGTAATGCTGTTTTGCATTTTCACCAAATTTTGAAGCGTCGGCAAAAACAAATGTCTCTAGACAGCTTTCTAGTAAAAAAGAATTAGATATGCATAATAAATAATAAACTAATTATTTCGATTTTTTTTTTT